CGACCTACCTATGTAATGTGTCGCCGCCGTGGGCGAGAAGACACAACAAATTCCAAGTTTCATGCAAGGATGAACATATAAGTAGTATGAAAGAAGAGATATTAAAAAAAACGAGGGCACAGTGTAGCGTAAATATTTGCTGGTAGTTTACCTCTTCAAGTTTTTCCCCCCCTCGGATACTCCTCTTCATTATCGGGGAAACGTCGAAGGATACATGTGCGGCGACATATCCGAGCGATTTCGTGGGATTTGATCTCTTGAAACGAAGGCTGAAAAGCTTGCGCCGAGACATGGAGAGGACCTGATAACAACTAATTGAAAGGTTAATCTACATAGCAGCCTGTGACAAAGTGGTACCCTCCCCCTTCTTCTTCTTCCACTGTAGACATCCCTACTTCAGTGTAGTGAGCGGACCGTCGCCCCTTTAGTGCGCTCCTACAATGATATTGTCAATTTCACTTTTTTCCCCCCTCCATCAACACATCCACTGATCGAGCCAAGTGGGACATTTTTAACACCTCACATTTTAGGGGGGTTGGATTAGCTTCACTTTTATGTCATATTAACATTTATCCCCCATGGGCATTTTTAACTTCCACTGATGTGCAGTGAGTGATATCAAATGTAAATCTGACATAAACACATATTTTATTTGAAAATGAACCACTCCTCGCACTGTCCAACACCACCCAGGGCAGTATAGGATATCATACACTAACACCATAATCTGCTAATTAACTCGCCCAAGAAAGAGCAATAGTTGTTAGCAATAATGTACATCATTAAATTTTCAGTCTTTAGATTTGGCGCTCCCCCCCCCTTCGCTCAGTCTTCGGCAGCATTAGAAATGCAGGAAAGCTCATTTTTCATGCAGTAATACAGATGTAATTAGAGAGATAATTGGTAACTTCCCATCAGATTCTAAACATAGTGTACTGTACAGGCGGCTTCAAATGAAAACATTTAACCCTTGTAGGAAAAAAAGACATATTTGATGTGTAATTTGATTTGCATTCATTTAATTCACGTGTTAATAGTCTTGTCATTAAGCTTCTTATTACCTTCTATTGACCTCATTGATGTTTGCTATTTACCTGCGTGCCTTTTCCCCATTTATAGTGCTTATATCACTCAGAGTCTTGCTGCCATTCAGTCCTTGACATTTATTTCAGTCTATTCACTGATAATTTGTTGTAAACAAGCACAAATAAAATTCATTGAGGCGCCCGCTGTAAAATCCTGTTAAACCAGGTGCAATGGGAATAAAAAGGGGTTTGGTTTTCCTTGCGTTCAGGACTGGTGTCACGATGGAGGCACTGACCAAACCTGCCTGTGTCTGGTTATAATGAATGCCACCCTGGGCCCCAGCAGGTCCTCCACTGCTGCATGGGTCCAGGGATAATTTGAATTGGAGCATGTGCCATTGCAATCTGCCCATCCCCCTCCTCAATCCCTGCCAACTGCCACACTGGTGTTCACAAACACTGCTGCCCATCTGCGGGGCAAAACACTGGCCAGGGCCCCAGTTACTCCTTTGCCTGCATTCAGAAAAATATATTCTGGCTGTGAACTCACTTTTGTAAGCGGATATCACAAAGTCAAGTTTTCCCTCACTTCAAAGTCGTTAACAGCGTATTTAACTCAAAACTGTGAATGAAAAGAGATTGTGTATATTGCTGCTATACAATAAAACTGGCGTTAAAGATTTTCAAAAGGCCTCGAGCTCAGTAGATTACAAAACACTAAGCATAGTATAGTAAAATGTAAATTAAATGCACACATTTAACGTTTGATTTTCAACCCCTTGCATTCATTGAGCAAAGCAAAAGTTTACCAGGAAAAGTGAGAAAAGTATGTTTAGTAGTTTCCTTATTGTGGCAGGCATTCTCATTACTTGATCATGGCTCCCTCTTTTTGTGTTTGTGTTTTGCCATCTGTCATCTTGAGAAGCAAATGAACCAGCTGCCATGGAGTGTGATCTTGCCCAATCAGAAATGTGGTCCTTTTCAAAGCGCATCTGTGTGAAACCTTAAAAAATGCTGATGAAAAAAAAGTGTCTCAAAGTTGTTAATAACATTTTGGCTGGTGAATGTTTTCACCTAGATGCCCCTGATTAGCATAAATGCATAAACTATGCCTCATTAGAGGAAAAGGAGCTCTTGTGCAGGGAGTGTAGAAACTGGATTCCTCCTGTCATGCTCAGAGAAAATAAAAGAAAATATGATGTAACAGGTTGTTCTAGGGGAACAAAAAATGTTATTCTCAATCACACTTTTTTGTAGAACAGATGAGTGTTGAATTGTTTTCCACAAAACACTTGAGACACTGCCCAACACTTCTGCTGGCCCACAGTCAGTGGGAGGGGAGGGGAGGGGCCTCCCTCTGATCCTCGTCTCCAACCCCCAGCGACAGCACAGCTGGGTACGAAGGATCAGCCTAATTTTCAGGTCCCTCTAATGATCGCCACGAAGAGCAACCACTAATCCCTTAACTGAGAAAAATGATCTCCTGTAGCCCTGCAGTGCAGCTCCAGACCCCGAGAGTCCAGTTAGGACCCAACAAGCATGAGTGGGGGTGACTGAGCGGAGCCAGGACACCAGGCTGGTCCTGGTCCCCCCCTCCTCCTCCTCCTCAGTCCCCTCCATAATGGAGGGTGTTGAGCTGTCCAAAAGTGATTAGCATGAGGGAGCCTCTGGCTGATTAAATGATGGGGAGATACACAAACCCTGTTGTTGCATTTTGGGTTTTGGGTATATTTAAAGAAATTTCAACAAATCTTATAAGTCGAAACGTACTTTGTTTTAGTATAGGGGTATCTCAGTAGGATGAGCGTGATATATTTTATTTGCAATATTACAACAAAAAAATCTTAGCAGTTTTGTCTCATTATATACCATCACTTTTGGAAATGTAATCCCAAAGAATAAAGCCCCAGCCATAAATTCTTAAAGGAGCAGTTCATGCCAAAATCAAAAATACATATTTTTCCTCTTACTTGTAGCGCTGTTCAGTCTAGACTGGTTTGGTGTGAGCTGTTGAGTGTTGGAACTAGATGGCACTCGGCTTGTGGTGCTCAAAGCGCCCAAAAAATCCATTTTAAAAACTCGACAGCAATGTCTCATTCCAGAAATCATGACTTGGTTACTCAAGATAATCCACAGACGTTGTTGTGAGCAGTTTCATATTCAACTGTTTTCTTTGTACAGAACTACATCCGCCAATGGTATTACTGTGCCGAAGGAAGCAACGCATTCTCACTCGTCAAATATCTGCGCTTGATCAGTGGCCCTACACGTCACACTATGACACTCTAGGTATCCCTCCAATGTCACATTTGGCAGCTCATGGACAACGTGTCAATTTACGCTTGTTACATGCAGCGTGTTGTCTTAAAATAAACTTCCATTTTCACAGGAAATGTACAGTTTCTGCTTGTTAAATGCACAGAGTCTCTTTTCTGAATAGACTTAGAACGCAGGTAAAAAACGTAGGTTTGGGCAACAAAAGCACGTGATTAGGTTTAGAAATAAAAGTCACAGTTTGGCTTCGTTACTAATGTACTTACTAATAACTTACTAATGTATCGTCATGTGACACACATCACTGGCATAGTACGCTTTACATATTAACACACTACACGATTCTTAAAATAACTCAGGTGACTTTTGGTTCCACACAGGACACAGCGGACTCCCGGGTGAAAGTCCAGAGTTGGTTTGGCCCATTCACCAACCCTTCTACTGCCCCTCTGCAGACTTTACTCTTTATACTAAGGCAGCTGCTCTAAGGGTCAAAAAATGCAGCTGCCCGATGTGTCTCATATCTCCACTAAAGGGTGCCTCAGTGTGTTGGTATCTGACTCGTCTTTGACGAGTTGGGAGTGAGATTGGGCTGAAGGAAGCATGCATCTACTGCTAGCTCACCTAGCACCACTGAGCTAGCTAACGTTACAGCTCATCTGAGACGGACGACATTAATGTTTACATTTCATTTAGATGCAAGCTTGCTTCTGTGTGGTGATACACAGAAGCAAGCTGATAGAAAGAAAATAGTTCTGACATGAAACTGCTCACAACAAGGTCTGTGGATTATCTTGAGTAACCGGGTCTTGATATCTAGAAAGAGACATTATATTAATTGGCTCTTTCAGCACCACAAGCCGAGCGCCATCTAGTTTCAATACACTTGAGAGAACGCAGACATCTCCAGAGCCTGTATCTCCAACAATTGGCAACTCACACCAGAACAATCTAGATTGATAAACAGCACCACAGGTAAGAGGAAACATATTTATGATGATTTTGGTGTGAACTGTCCCTTTAAAGGAATACTCAACTGAAAATGCACTATATTTAACAGTATGTAGTATCACAACATTCACCCTCTGCAGGCTTGAAAGAAGTCTTTAAGAAGTTTGTAGCTTCATGAAGGATGGCACTCATGGGTTACACTACTACAATCAGTACCTCTGTGGCACACTGTTGCCTGCTCATAGCTCAGAATCTCCAGCTCAGCGTAATTAGCAATTTATTGGCAAATTTGTTTGGAAAATATTCAGCATGAGAATCGGCGGATTATGCAACAGGAATGGTTTGAGAAGTTTCTGTCAATATTTTTTGGCAAACCCCTTTGGGTCACCATTAAAAATTGATCACAACTTCTGTGACTCAAAGCCAAATACAGCTGACGTACAGGAGCAAACAAACTTTTCAGAGCCACATGTCCACAGAAACTTTTCAATTCTATCCTGCAGGATAATGCACTTTTCCACCATTGATCCATTTTTTCAGTATCATTGCAACAATCGTCGCTTTGCAAACAAATCAATAAATACAGCACGTGCAGCCAAGAATCAGAGCTATGAGGAGCTCTGTTGTGGAGATCTTGAGTGTTTGAAACATGCAGAACATATAGATCAATGGTGGAGACGTGGTGCTGATACATTTTCAGGCCTACAGGCGTTGAGTTTTTGATACTCAAAAGATAGATTTTCAGTGGAATGCCCCTTTAAACAACCAGTTTATTCCAATATTTGATACTAGCACATTATGTGAATTGTATTAAAACATTTGAGCTGCTTATTCGAGCTTGATGAAATATTCAAGCTGCAGCACTTAGTCCCATGCAGTCAGTCATTGTAAATAGAAAAAATGTACACAAAATCCCAAAGCATACATATACAAGTATCTTGTGGAAAAGACGAGTGTGCAGTGCTTGGATGCATCAGTGAAAGTCGGGCTTCTCTGGGAAGGTGCATCCGACCCGTTGGATGATGACGTTGGCGGCGTAGTGTCCAGCCCGGATACACTCCTCCAACGGATGCTCTTGGATCAACGCATAGAGGAATCCTGGGAAGACAGAAGAGCAGAAGTCAACCTTTAACCCTCCATCACCTCTAAATTGTTTGGGGAGCAGCATTAATATGAGTCAGGTACTAATGGTTTCTGGAAGAAAGGGACAATGCTGGTTCATCCTCAACAGGACCCAAATGATGACTGTTTTATGTGGTGCTATGATCAGCTCATACCGAGTGAAAACAGCAGGCTAAATGTCACGCTCATATAATCTGGAGGCATTACTACATTACATAGTTGGCCGGTATCAAAGGTTAATTGGGATTGTACACAGAAATCAAGCTGTGTAGAGGGTGATTTTCGTGCTGTACCTCCCACAAAGGCGTCTCCAGCTCCGTTAGTGTCCACAATATCGTTTTGATCGATGTCCACAACTGGGAACATGACCGCCTTCTCACCTGTGGTCAGGAAACAAGACAGTCATTAATTTAAGTTGAGCACCAGTTTTTCTTTTCCTCTTTCCTCTTTTCCTTCCTTCCTATAGCTGCCCGTGATCACAGTTTTAAACACACGGTTAATATTGTAAAATAGTCGCAGTTGCACCAAAACTAAGCCAAAACGTTAGTTTGTTTGTGTTATTGTGTGATTTTGATGTTTAGCTCAACTACGACCAAGGTTAATCAGCTCCCATGTTCAGTGAAGTAAACTAACTGTTTTTCTTCATGGAGTCTGGCTTTGAAGACATAACTTTCACCTTCAGTTCAGCCCCTCATCAAAAAGGGCCTTTCTATTTGGATGGTACTGAGCATAAGACTTTGTAATCAATGTTTTGATATATTTTTGCTGTTGTAACCTATGGCTTAAAATCATCAAGACTTTCCCCCCATTTCTGGATTCTTTGTTCACTGGAGGCATGCGAGAAAATCAAAATTTTCTTCATGATTTCAACTTAACACGTGAGTAATTTCTATACAAATTGTCATTTAGGGGTGAGGTATTCCCTTAAAATAACTCAACACTGACTTTTGTTTTTACACAGGACCTGAACAGCTGTCTCATGGGTGAAAGTCCTGTGTTTGTTCAACCAATTCACATCACGGCCTCCTCATATTCAGACTTTGCTGCTCTTTATACTCTGTCACAGAGAGGTCGCTGCCTAACAACAACATAAATAGGGGTCTTATTAAGCTGTGCGTACAAATAATACAGTTTACAATTTATAATACAACAAAATAACACAATTAACAGTTAAAGAAGTAAAAGATAGTCTTAAAGGAAGTCAACATTAAACATTTAGCTTCGGTAAGACAGGAAACTTCACTTAGCATCATTATGGTCACCAAAGCGGAATATCTACTTGCAGTATTTAAAGTGAGGGAACTATGAACCACACAAGCTTTGATTCAAAACACATTAAGTCTAAAAATAAAAAAAAAAATCCAATGTATGAATCTGAAATGATACAGTGGTGCAAAACTCTCATTTACTTTCTCATAAGGCTACTAATGATTATCGTTTTTAGCCACGCTAACTGACCCTAACTTATCCTCTCGCACCACCATGAGGTTGATGTTTGTAGTTTTGAGTGAAATGTCTCAACAACTTTTGGATGGGTTGTGGTTATTTTTGGGACAGACCACAGTTACCCCCTCAGGATGAATTGTAATAACGTTGTTGATCCCTTAACTTCATCACTGATTAAAACATTTTACTTGTCCAATACTGGTTTACAACCAAATACCTGACAAACAAAGGACGTTGCCATCAGCCTTGGCTGTACTTTTAGTGATGATTAGCAGATGTTATCATGCTAAGATGCTAATATGCTAAACCAAGGTGGTGAACATAGTAAACATTAATGACTGGTTTTGGAAATTAGCTTCAGCTACACAAACGTGTTCAACACATCGGACACTGCTTCTGCAACTGCCAATGTTTCTCTGTACTCGTCCCTTACAAGTGAACTGAACTTAACATCAGCATGTTAGCATCGTCACTCTGAGAATGTTAGCATGCTGATTTTAGCATTTAGCTCAAAGCCGCCACACAGAGTCGCTACCATGGCCATAGACTCTTATCTTATCTTTCTGGATAAATCTTTCGGTCTACCAAATGTCAAAAATAGTGATAACAAGTTCCCAGAGCCCATGGCTGTTTATTTTGTTCAACTAACAGCTGAAAATACAAATATAGGCTATTAATATACAAATATCCATAATAAAGAAGCAGCAGCAGCAAATCCTAGCATCTGAGAAGCTGTTTTTAGTGGATGTTTGCTTTATAAATTACATAAAGTAAACAATTTAATATGAAAATTGTTCTTTTCTGTCTGTAGACAAATTGACATTTAACTATTTTTTCAGTACAAATTACTATAATAATAATTATAATAACACAGGTCACATGAACAGGTGGCCTGTCAGCAGAGGGTTAACGTCAGATAACAGCAGGCAGTGTGACACTGTAGGGACATAAACACACATTATAACACCCAAATTATAAATAATAATAATTATAATAACAATAACAATAATAATAATAATAATAATAATAATAATAATAATAATGATGATGACGATAATAATGACAAACATAATGATGATAATAATATTAGTAGGACTTATATAGCACCTTTCAAGGTGCCCTAGGCTGCTTTACAGAGTAAGAAATAAAAAGATAAACAAATGCATAAGCAAAATAGAAATGGGGAAAAAAGCAACAAAACAAAACAAAGAAAAAAACAGAATTTTTAAACGTTAAATTAAGGGACACTTCTGTATAATAAATAATACAACGTCCTGCAGTGGCTTGAATAAATGCTCCAAAAGCAACAGATGATCCAATTCAACATCTCCAAAGCTTTAGGTGCACGCTCTTATAAATTAAAAACAATGCAAGAACAGTTGCTGTAAGTCCTTTCAGTTCAAAATGGAATCCATTAAATGAGGGCCTCTTTATTATCTTTAGTGGATTATATTGCTTCAATTATCAGTAGCATATGCACTTCAAAGGGACTTTCAGTTTAAAGGAGAGGGGGGAAAAAAAGAAACAAAAAATCTACCAGATGACAAAGTCTCGAGGTGTAGAGTGACATTAAATCAGCAACTTATGTCAGAACAATCTAAACCACACACACAATCTTCAAACAATCCGAGGGCTCTGGTGCCGACATGAACCTTCAAAAAGGTGCAGGAGACAAAAGACTGACATGTGGATAAAAGGAACACAAGGAGGCTGACAGACCTCTTATTGAGAGAAAAAGGTTGGAAGTTTAAGGAGAACACGAGGAAAAAAAACTACAGAAAGTTGTTTAATGAGGCTCCCTGCTAATCTAACAATGGCTCACAGAATATCTGTGCAGCAGATAAGATGCCCCCCGCCTTATCAGTTTTTGAATACATTTCTGCTCTTGTCCTACAGGGCAAAAGATACACAACCTGCAGCCGCGCATATGCTCAACACCTGATGTCAAGAAAATTACTGTAATACACCAACTGTGAGAGAAACGGTATCAAGTTGCGGCTGAAAACGACATCTTGGAGAGCAGAATGGGACTGTATTCCAGGTCAGGTACTGAAGACGCATCAGATAAAGACTCAGATTGTGTTTTCATAATGACACATTTTCTCTTTAAAGGGGAAAGCAGGAGATTGTCACTTTGATAATAAATTACAATAAGACAAGAATCCTTTTAGGATCTGCTAATTAGTAGCATAACGACTTTGCTTAATTAATGCCACAGATGAAGCTTGAGAATCCTCCTCCCTCTTGAAACGATTAACCGCAATGGAAAATGTGCTAATAATAAATCACAGTTATGTCACTTATTCCACAGTTAAGAAACGTTAGATGTGGTTGTGCTTGTGCGGCGCACTTTGCGGCTATAAAACCGGATCTTTTAAAACTTGAAGCTGCTGCACTTGTTCGGCACACAATCTGCTGTTCATTAGACCCCAGCAATCAGATACAAATAGCTGTGTAAATATGTTTACAGTGGTTAAAAGAGACGGTTACCCTCTGCAGCGTGGGTGGTGCAGGAGGAGTCGGGTCTTATTAGAAAGACAGTATGCATCCAGGTAACCTCTCGCATGAAGCACATCTTTGTGATAACACTACATCCAGAGGTGTCAAAATTCACTGAACAAATCTAAATCTGTTAGACCTACTGCTATGTTGTCGCAACCAACAGTTCGGGATGTGGTTTCTTTTAACCTCTTACACTCCGCTCTTCCCTACCATAGACCCATTTTTGTCTTTTTTTGGGCAGGACAGAGGATCTTTAGCAGCAGATCACAGATTAACAGTATATTTCACACAGAAGTAGAATACATCATCTGAAAGCTGGGCACCTGAAGATTAATTTGAGATGCAGTATGGAAGTATATGATGGCCATGCCCATGCTCAATTATGTCTCATGAGTTGCTGCAGCACGTTTTGGGTTGATAACATTTGTTACATAGATTTGGTGCTAAACTTAACGAACTTATAAAAATGTTTACAATTCAATTCAAAATACCACATTGAAGACCTTGAGGAACACAACTGAAAAGACGTTTGACATTTGGAGATTTCTGTAAGAACTGCATTTTTCGGTGATTGGATGGTGAGCACTTCTGTTCAGGAGACTGCTGAGAAACTGCCCTATTGTCAATACACCTATGAAAAACATATATCTTCCTAATGCCCAAGGTCTCTAATATGTGTTTGTACAGTTTCATAAGGCTGTGATTACCGCAGAGGTCACAACAGGTCATTTTATGCAGTTATTTTCATTTCTAAAAAATGATTTCACTACAATGACATGGTTAGTATGGAGGCTAACATCATTACACATAAGGAAAATGGGCTCATTGAATCCAAAAGCGCCTTAGCTTTCCAATCATACACAATATATGCAATTCTAAGACTGTTAAGCTGCATACATATTGTAAAAATGTTTTATTTTCGCCTATTGTGTTGGAATATTTCTGCATACTGCATATTCCAATACAATAGGCAAAAAAACCCCACTTGTACTACATTAGAAAAACTGCATAGGACTAGCATAAAGTGGACATGACTGTAAAGGGGAGACATTCAGATATCTTGAAGTTAGATGTCAAGGGACCCCTGCGAAAATGGCCATACCAGTTTTGCCCTTGCCAAAATTTTACCTACCTTTGGAGCGTTATTTATCCCGTTATTCCATCCATCTTTACTCTAGCTTTAAAATCAGCCCGCAACAGCATTTACTGTAGCTCAAAGTACTAATTAGTTTTGGAAGTTCACACCAGACGACTTTCAAAGTAATCAGGCCGCTGTAGTGTTCAGGCTACGCAACTTAACGTCTTGTAATCAGGAGTCTTGAAGTCATTGTGGTTTACACACTAGTCCCGTATAAATATGGGATGTGTGGGTCAAACCACAATCTGGGCACGGACAGGTGCTTACTAGTAAATAACAAAGTAAAAATGTGAA